TTTTGTGCAATTGATATTACTTGTTATTTTTTATTAGTGATTAGCTTAAGTTTGAATTTTTTTTTTTTGTGAAATTGGTATCACTTGTTATTTTTTATTGGTGATTAGCTTAGTTTTGAATATTTACAACCTCAGAATTTTTTGTAATATTTAAATATTTTCTCATCTATAAAATCATACAAATATTTTGAGTAAATAAATTCAATAAAGATCGTCAAGACAAACAAATAATGCTAAGAATGCTAAAAGATAAAGTATGAGATAACATTATTTGTCTTGACGATCTTAATTAGATTTTCATTTATATCATCTATCTCTATATAATAAAATAGAATATAATTTGAATTCAAAAGACAAAAAAAAATCCAAATCGTTTTAAAATAAAATATAAACAAATTCAACGGAGAATATAATCTCAATATAAAAGATGATTCAGATCATCTCATAAATACTGATTTAACAATTTATAGTGAGAATATTAAATTTTGTTTTCCCGCCTAAGATTTCCTCACTCACGCCTCTCTCTCCCTCCCTATCTCTCACGCCCATCTCTCTCCCAATTTCATCCCATATACAACTTTAAAGTCTTATTGCTCATGTACCTCTCTCTCTCACTCATATGATATCTCTCTCTCTCCCCCTCTCTACCCCTTTCTCTCCTCCCCGGCTACCCACACCCACTCACACCAAACCCCCCAATGCACATAAACCCTTCCCCCTTCCTCCTTCCTCTTTCCAACTGCCTGCACTCACACCCCCACCCCCACGCAAACCGCGCCCTAAACGCACATAGCCAACCTCTTCCAACCACCACCAAATCCCCCACAACCCCCCCTCCCTGCCACTATAACCGAAACTCACCCCCATCCCCTACTCTCCTATACACACAGAATTCGAATTCCATCGAGCAACATGCACATACAACATTCACACACACACACACACACTATATCCACCCCCCCAACACACTGATTTTTGTTTGCAGTTGTGTTCCTATTCCAATTCCCAATAGAGTTTGCTCTTTTTTTTAATTTGAGTATGCTTACAATTTTGTTGATTTGCAGTTTTTGGGCTTGCTCGAAAGATGTTTGAAAAAATTACTGATAGGGATTTGTTTTCTATTTCTGTCGATAATGGGTTGTTTGATTTTTGCAACTATTCATTCCTTGGATTTTGATTGTTTTTTCGAACTAATTTATAATTAAGTCCTTTGTTATTTATAATTGATGTGTTTGATGTTGTGCTAAAAAATCTTACTTGGTTAGTGCATGAATTATCTAATTAAAGCAAAAAAAAACCATTTAAACTTTTTTTTAAGTGGCAAGAGGAGTTTTGCATTGATATAATTTCGGAAATAGTCATCCCACTTTTGGCTTTCACTTGAATTCCTATATGAAGAGTCTCTTATGATTGGGAATTTGATTCATTTTTGCAATTTTTTTCTATTTATGTGTATGAGATTTTTGTTATCTTAGGATTCTAGCGGATTCATATATACTATACGAACTAATTTTGGCACAGTTTCCTGCCCTTCTCTCATGTTCAACAAAATTTCTTGCAGAGACTCGCGTCAAGGATACCACTACTGGGTATTTGTTCTCTCGATGTTTTGAATTAAATCGTTATTTTGTGCTATTTTGTTATCTGCTATTTGGAGTAATGTGATTCTTTGTTTACCTGTCATGTTGATTGCATAGTCACTATTGTCATTGGTATGAAGGTTTCAACGTTCATTTCCATATTTATGCCTTTTGGTAATATCTGTAAAAGAAGTTTTCCTTGCCCTTTTGTAACAATATATGATTGTTTTCCTTTTTTGTAAATTTGATTTCTTTTGCTAGAAATTATTTTATCCAAATTTGATCAAAGTGGAAGTGAACTGAGCTTTGAATGACCTGTGTGTGTGTGTGTGTGTTTATTCTTTTTGTTCTATTTTGGTGATGTTGACTGTGGCTGTGTTTTGGCGATTCTTTTTGGATTAGTAGTGAGGTTTTGGCGGTGCAAGAAAATGGTTGTGTGATAATCACATCCTTTTGTTGCATGTATAGGTGGTTGATGTTGTTAAAGATGAGTATTTATAAGTGTAACCCAATTTTTCAAAAGAAATTAATTTTTTCAGTAGGAGTTTAGATCAAAAGGCTGAAAAGGGGGAAGGCTTGAAGACCTCAAGGCCTTAAAGTTAACCTTCCATTTCTACTTGGTAGTTTGATTTTAGATAGCCAAAACGTGTATGATTACGATATTGAATTTTTGATATTTATGCTTTCTGATTTTTTTTTGATTAATTACAGATGCCATGCCATGCACACACAGTCGCTTTTGCTTAGACAGAAATGGTTAGAGTACTGATTTAGATTTAGTTAACTTTCTTTTGGCTTTCTCTTTTTTACGGTGTTGTAATTGTTTGATCATATTGGTCTAAATTTGAATTGCTAATTCGATTTTGTATAATATGGTCATTCAGAGAAGAGTACAACTTATATCCAATTTGTTCAATTAACTTATGTCCAATTTGTCTATTTGTTCAACTTATGTTTAGGCTTATTGTTCAATTAGCTTTAATTGTTGGTTTTAGCTTTAATTAGTTTAAATTATTATGCGGTACCTAGACTTATTGTCCAATTTATATATTTTTTCAGTGAACTTCACAACGGGAAGCAGCCATTGGCAGTGCAGCTTCAACGATGACACAACTCAAGTGACGATGATGACCTCCTATGTATTTTTTCCAAACTTTGATATGTTACTGTTATTTTTGTCCACTCTTCTATGGAAGTCTCTTTTTCTATTTTTTAGCGTGAGCTGGATTTTCATGACTTGAATAGAGTTTTTAAATTCAGGTTATGTGATTTTGTAAGAAATAGATTGTGATTGCATTGAATTCTGAATCTTCATGCCCCGAAGGTATTAGTATGCCCTTCAATTTAATGCCCTAAATTTTGTTATTTTTACAAAGAAAGGTATGCAGTTGAGTAGCGAGAAATAGAGAAACAGCAAGCCGCCCCTGACATATCAAATTATTTTTGTTTGTCGCATAAGAAGTGTATTTATTTAATTTTTTTTTAACTTGCTTACATGATTATATTATAACGTTATTATGCGTATTGGTAGTTATGTTTAGGCATGAAGATGGTTAATATTATGATATTTTTTTTGGTAGTCAGTGTGTGTATGACATGATTTGATTATGATTATGAAATATATAAGTTTTATAGACAAGTTGATATATTTGTGACATCATATTTTTAGAGGATAATTATCAAAAAAATTAAAAGCTTCTTATAGAGTATCTACATTTTGATCTTTTTTATTTCACTAAAGTCATGACATTAAAAAATGACTAAACAATTTTCAGCTTAATGCATTTTCAGCAAAAATTCAATGCTTGATTATTTCGCGTTCAAATTTCATATTTGATTTTTTTTAGTTGCACCGTGCGTTCAGGCATGGGTTATCCCTAATATATCTATATAATAAAGTAGTTAAAAATTCAAATTTTAAAAAATAAATAAAATAACTTTTACTTTTCGCAGTTTATATCGTTTTAAATTTTATTTTAAAGTTAATTTAATGATTAATATTAATACCCTAAATTTAATAGGAAAAATAGGACTCTAAAGGTGTGTTTGTAGTGATTTTTTTAAATTACTTCTAAAAATTATTTCTCATAAGTACTTTAAAAAAAATAATATTTGAAATCGTCTCATCACTACCTCTGCCATCACCACCCCCACCACCACTGCCCCCACCGCCACTCACTACACACCATCACCGTCTCGTACCACTACCATTGTTGCTCATCACCTCTCACTTCCATTACAATCGATACTTAAATTTATTTATCTTTCATCTATGTTTTCATTTATCTTTCATCTATGTTTGTGATTTGATTTTGGATATGAATACAAATATGTTTATTATATACTATTTTTTATTATTATGTGCCTTTAAGTACAGACAATAACTAGTAAATATATATATATAAAGAAAGAGAGATGGGAGTGTGAGATAGAGTGAGAAAAAGAGTTATATTAGAGATAAAAGTCTTAGAGTTTTAAAGGAATGAAAGTTTAATTAGAATCGTCGGATCAATAATTTTCAATTGATCTAAACAGCAAAAAGTTTAAGAAAAAGAAATTTTGCTACTTTTTTTTAATATTTAAATATTTTCTTATTTATAAAATCATACAAATATTTTGGATAAATAAATCCAATAACAGTCGTCAAGACAAATAAATAATGCTATGAATGTTAAGAGAAAAAGTATGAGATAATATTGTTTGTCTTAACGATCTTAATTAGATTTTTATTTTATCTCTTATATATACATGTAGAGAGATAAAGTATGAGAGATGAGAGTGTTTAAAATATCTCTAAGGAGAGAGAGAGAAAGAAAGATAATTATATTAAATATGAAAGTCTTAAAAATTTTAAAAAGAGTAAAAGTCTAATTTTAATTGCCGAATCAATAATTTGATCTGAATCGCGCAAAAACCGGAGATAAAGAAATTTAACTATCTTCCGTCTCCGTGAAATCGTACGGAACGAGTGCAAGTGTTTTCCTAACGAAATTCAAATTCCACAGAACTGTCTTCCATAACTAAAATAGGAGAAGGGAGAAGGAACTTCAAGAAAGGAAAGAAAAGAAAAGCAAAGCAGAGCAGTTAAAACGGGTGGAAAGGGACGAGTTGGGTTTACAGGGACCATTCTCTTCTCTTTTCTATTGGAAGGAAACGATTAATTCCATCGATTCCTTTTTTTTTTTTTTGGTGTGTGTGTGTGGAGCCTGGAAGAGGAAGAGGGCACGCTTTTTAACTAGCATAATATATACATACATACATTCATCCGTAGACATCTGAGTCTTTGTGCGTTCTCAAAATTCCAAGAGTCCTTGTGCATTCGTCCTGGCTCAAGCGAACCAATTTGTTGTCGGACAGTGGGTGTTCCGCTCTATTTTGTTGATTTAGTCGAACGCACGCGCGTCTAAAACAAGCATAGGGATGTATGAACTCGTTGAGAGAGAAGAAAAAAACCAGAATGCAGATCCTACTACTAACGAACTTTTTATTATGGAAGAAGGTGGCATGCAGAAACAATGGCAAAAGATCCCGCAAATTACCATAAATTCTGCGGCTGCCGGAGACAATCAGTTAACCCATCCAAGTACTGGTACTGGGGGTGCATTTGCGGCCATTGGGAAGCATCGCCTTGCGTCGCTTGATGTTTTTCGCGGGCTGACAGTCGCTGTAAGGTTTATTTATTTATTTATTATTATTATTTGTTTGTTTGTTTGTTTGTTTTTTTTAAAGAAATTAAGAATACTGTTCAATTTGAAATAATATTGAACGAACTCAGAATCGCGCTAAAGGCCACCACGATCAGCCAAATTTCCTTCGTTTTCACACATTTATTAATTAATTTTCAGTAGTTTCCTTTATTTGTTTTGGAATCCCAATTTAATTACAATCTCCTGTTTTAGTTTTAGACATTCAGTCTTTCTATTTTTGTTGCTCTCATTTATTATTATAAAAAGTGGGATTGTGAGTCAAAAGGCAAATACATCTTTTCAATAATGCTTCTAGAGTTTCAATCACCAAGGTGGTAGCTACCATTACTATCATTTCCCTCTGGCCATGATATGTCAAGACTATGATACCATTTGACGAAGCAGAAGAGAATAGATAATACTTAACTTTTGAATCCACTAGAAATAGTAAATCCAAAATTTTGGAAATATTATTGGAAATGTCTTTGTCTTGTAGCTTGAAACTATTCATATAATAAGAACGACCTAAATTAGTTTATTACATTTTCTAATTTAGTCTAATTTATGTCTTTGTCTTTGTCTTTGTCAGGGCATTAAAACACCATTCATTCTAAAATTAAAATAACATATTGCTAAACAATTTTGGATTTCAAAATAAATAAATTTTTGAAAGTGTCCTGAAATTAAGAATATTACGATGACAAATGATTAATGATGGAATTTGGGTAGGACAATGCAGGTGAAATCTTTTAGACCTCGTTATTTCCTTTCTTTGACATAATTCTATGTTCGTTCAAAATTATCTAACTAGATTTTTGAGTTATTTATTCTAAGTCACCTAATTATAGTGCCACTAAATTAATTGTTTAGAAATGGAAGTAGCAAACATGACTTCATAATGTTAGGGTTACTTGATTCCATTAGATTCAAGCGATGGGGACATTTCTCATCATTCTGTTGGTTTCCAATTCCTATAAAACCTAATGAGATGGATAAAAGTTTGTGATGCATTTTAGTATTGTGGTTATATTGGTAATTGAAAGGAGATAAGTTGAGTATTAAGAAACAGACAAGGCACAAAAAAGAATCTCAAACAAAGATATAGAGATAGAATTTTTAGGGATCCACCTATAATCGTGATATTTTTCTTATTGAGAAAGGAGATGAAAGACGTAGCTACCATGTGATCAAATGCTCCTGCATCAATAACTCAACCTTCTGCAGCAAAATTGTTCAGAGTCAGAAGTGGCAAGTTGTAGAAGGAGTAGCCAAGGACTCTACTAAAATGGTGCGTTTAGGAAGTCAATGCCTTCTTAAATCTTGAACCTAATCAGGCCAATGTCCAAACTTAATCTGAATACAAATTCAAATATGTGCCCATTGGTGTTTGTCTATAAGACAAAAAGCTTGAAATATCTGATAAAAATCTAACTCTTCCCGCATGCCATGAAATTTTTCCAAGTATGCGGTCAGATACATATCCTTTTTGCCTTGATTAACATATCTTGCTCAAAGTAGAAAAATGATCTTCTGGTGAGCCATTATTGTCAAGTACTAGCCTACATTATATTACAAAGTGATGTCATGCATATACACACCTCAAATTAAAAACTATTCGTTGCAAGTACATGACATGTGCCTTTTCTAATTCTCAAGCTGTTCTCTCCCTCTCCCCTTCTCTCAAAAGTTTGCTGCATTGCCATTGCAGTTGATGATACTTGTGGATTATGCTGGTGGAAACTTTCCAGCAATAAATCACTCACCTTGGAATGGCCTAACTCTTGCCGATTTTGTTGTGCCATTTTTCTTGTTTATCGTGGGAATGGCGGTCGGAATAACTCAAAAGGTATATCTTTTGATCACGTTCTTGCTCATTTTGCTCCATATCAATGGGACTATATTAATAATGTTTTTTCCCATCCTTAAGTAGCATAGCAAATGCTTTTGCTGATTAGCAGTAATGTATTGTGCAAACAGAAACCTACCAGCAAATCTGTTGCAACTCGAAAAGCTGTACTCCGGGCACTTAAGTTATTTGTTTTGGGGATTGTGCTTCAAGGTATATACTTTTTGGCTTGTTATGTTTAAATTTTAAACATCGTGATATTTTACATCGTTTAATTAATCAAGACCATGAAAATGTTCAGCATTTATGGATGTGTAAAGCTTTAAAACTCAGGACTTCAACATATTGGTGTTCGGGACAACATTCTCCTAAATTGTTTTGGTTTTCCTGCTGTACAGGAGGCTACTTTCATGGACTCGGTGATCTAAAATATGGAGTTGATATAGATAAAATCAGATGGATGGGAATATTGCAGGTTTGATCTTTCGCACGATGTTGTTATTTGTAATTCTGAACACTGTATAGTTTGACTATAATGTTGGATCTGGATTAAAAATTGTCATATCAGACAGTCATTGGCTGAGTTTTACTAAGATGTTATTAAACAATAAAATATGCATCACATGTGGATCTTTTGACTAGATAAAATTAATATAATCACACTAATTACCGACTATTATTTTGCAGAGAATTGCACTAGCATATCTGTTAGCAGCACTTTGTGAGATTTGGCTCAAGGGCGATGATGATGTCCATTCAGGATCATCTTTGCTGAGAAAATACCGACATCAATGGTAAGAAAAGCTGATTTTGTGTTCACATGGTATATTTCTATCCAGAAAGATCCTCACTTATATGGCATTCTGCTTTCACTGTTTTCTTTGGTACATGGACTTCACAAAAAAAAGTGACATTTATTTCCTTTGTATTTTCTTTAAGCAAATCCCTGATGTCATATCAAGAGAATATAATTTCACCATTAAATTCGTCTATTCCTTAACTATACTCTGAAAAGTGAAACTCTCAGCAACTAAGCATGTCGGTTGTTGAACTTGATTAAACTCTCTTGAATCTGATTATTTGGATTTCTATTTTTCTTTTTTTATGCCGACACACACCATTATAATATTTGAACTGCCAAAACTATGTGATAACATTTCGGGGCATAGCCAGGAAAAAGTTTTAGGATGGGAACATTAGCACGTTTTAATTTTTTTTTTAAATTGATTGTAAAAGTTCCTAAATACATATTTATTAAAATTATATTTAATTCTTGAAAATTCAGTAAACATAGAAGATTAAAAATCTATATGCATAACATGATCAAAAAAAAAAATGATTAAAATTTCTTATAAGAATGAGACTAATTATTATCACTTACAATTGACCCTAGTATGTTTTTATTATTTGAAAGAGATACAAGTCAATCTTATCAACAATATTTCTTTTATATATAAAATTGTGGTAACAATCTTACATTTATGATTTTATAGTTTATCTACGTAACGACACACATTTTTATACAATAACAAAATAATCCTACAATTTAAAAAAATTATAAAATAACCTTAATATATTCAAAACATATTCGAATATGTCTGAAACGTGTGTAAAAGTTAACAATAATATTAGTTGTACCTAATTTAAAATTTAATTGGTGGAGATCCAATAGTTTGTGACCATTGGATAGATAATGGAGTTTATTAAATATTGAGACTCACTATTAGACTTAATATCACAATGCATTATATCCTTAAATTAGGTTTCAATAACATTGTTTGAAAAGTTTACAATCATATAAGTAGGGGTCTATTCAAATCAATATCGCCAAAAAATAATAATAGGGTGGGTACAATTAAATATGTCTAAATTTTATTTCAAAAAATACATGTCTAACATGATGGGAAAAAAATTTGAGGGGGGCATGTGCCCACCCTAGTCCAAGGGTGGCTTTGCCCTTGGTCCCACGGATAGTTATATACTTGGGCAATGGATACAAGCTAAGAAATAAGAAGCAAAGACACTTGTAATAAGATCACGTGTCTTATTATTTCGGGCTGGATGTAAGAAATAAAAAATTTTACTTTTTGTTATATACTTAGGCAATGGATGCAAGCTAAGAAATAAGAAGGAAAGACACTTGTAATAAGATCACGTGTTTGATATTATTTCGGCCAGGACGTGATTAAGAAATAAAAAAATTTACTTTTTGACAAGTGTTTCAAACTCTTTTGGAGACTGAAACTTGTGCTGTGATCATGAAAGTTGAGAAAGGTGATTTATAACTATTTTATACTGTGGAAAATGTGTGACTGTTAATGCTAATAATATAAAAATTTTAGTTAAAAGTTACTACAAAATCATATGATACAAATGGTTTTACTAGAAAAGGCTTGGGAAGATGAGAGGAGTTATTATATTCATATACGATATATGCTTCCTACACTAGGTCTATGAGAAACCAATGGCTTGGGAAGATGAGAGAAGTTATTGTAATTATGTATGCTTACTCCATTTTGTTTATTAGAAATGGATGATCATTGCTTACTATGATTTATTAGTCTGAAAATTTATGTTGAGTAGCACATATATGATTTGCTTATCATTTGTAATTATTTATTTAGATTGCGCAAATATAGTTATGTTTATTGATAAACAATACAATCTGTCATGCAAGACATAATTAATGTAGCGTGTCTCAGTCGTGTTTGTCTTACTTTTGTCATGTAATTTCATGATTTGTTGAGCTGTTGTGTCCATATCATGGCATGTCTGTGTCTCGTGTTTGTGCTCGTGCTTCATGGGATACATGAGTAGTAGTTCTATGTAAATGGTATTCTATGAAAGGAAGTATGCTGTTCCTTGACTAGTTTCTAACCTCATCATTACATCTCCTGCTTTTATATATGATTTTGCTTGGTTTCAGACAGTGACTGCTTGTCTCTGCTATATGTATACATTATTCCTCAAGAGAATTAAGTCAATGGCTTTGCTCATTGCATTTGGCGTATTGGACTTCCAAAAATGTAATTTGCATTTTGTATATAATTTTTCACTGCCATTATGTTGTCTGCAGTACCATTTTTATTTTTCCTCTCCTGGTAGGAGAGAATGTCATCTTCTATCTTACTACATATTTTTTGGTGGTTAATTTTTTGATTCCCTATATAACTGCTGCAGGATGGCAGGGTTCATACTTACAACCATATATTTGAGCCTCTTGTACGGTTTGTACGTTCCTGACTGGGAGTATCAAATTTTAGACAGCAGCTCTTTTCTTGCATCTGTGACACTCTCAGTGAGTATAGCTTTTTACAAGAGCTATGAAACCTACAGAATTTTGTGTTGGCTTAGTTTGTATGGATAGCAGTTGCCTAACCTTGTTTATATATCTCATCAAAGATAAAATGTGGAGTTCGGGGTGACTCTGGACCTGCTTGTAATGCTGCTGGCATGATTGATCGTAAAATTCTTGGAATTCAGCATATGTACCGTAAACCAACTTACGAACGGATGAAGGTTTCTATTGAAGTGGCTACGTGATTTTTACTTTGGCTGCAAACCTGCATCCAACACTTCACCTTTGCATATTCTTTTCTATTTTCGCAGCAATGCAGTATACATTCTCCAGATTATGGCCCACCTCCTCCTAATGCTCCTTCATGGTGTCAAACCCCATTCGATCCAGAGGGACTTTTAAGGTTTGCTACCCTTTTCTTCTTTATAGATTCTGTTGCATGCGCTGAAGAGAGCCTATTGCAACTCTGGTGGCTGTCACACCAGTAGGTGTTTCTTCTGGTGGTTTGTTGTAGATATATTGCTCCCTTTTGCTTCCTGCAGTTTTATTAGGTTTTTTACTGCTTCCTATTTAAGAGTATAGATTAACCTACTTTTGCACCCTAGTCCTTGAAAATTTTATCAGCCCCTATTCTTTTTCAGGAAATCATGGTTGGGGCTTCATATTTATGAGACATAAATATGAAAATATTTTCAAAAAATTTATCAAGACAGTAAATAACATTTTAGCCAAAATGACGTGGTTGGCATGATCCAAGCACTTTAACCCCATTATTCTTCAAATCTTGAGTTTAAGAGTGTCCCCTAATATTACTACCCTGCCTTTATCTTGTGGGGGAGCTTCCAGGTAGTCTCCAGGGCACAGAAGGTGGTGATAAAGCAACTCTTTCAGTCTGAAAACCAAATCAATAAAAGGGAGCATGGTTTCACCCATGTTGTCTGCAAGTTTACTGAAGTAAAGTGTAAGTGGGTAAGAGTGGTTAAGTGAAGTGTCCTTGACTAGTTGTCCACGAGTTGTCAGATGAGAAGTCCAGTTTATTCGTGATTTGTGTCCAACATCTGGTATTCTCACTGTTTCTTTTAAGACAAGGTGACATGTCAGGTCGTAGCGTTGTAGTAGTCGAGTGGGAGGTTGGCTTTATACGTTGTATGACATACATTTAGTTTTGTATGAGTGCCTAGTTATAAATCCATGTAATTTTGTTTGTATCCTTTGTGTTACCGTTGTCCCCAATCACCTCGGAGAGTTCACAGTTTGGACTGTGAAAGCAAGCAGTCAGTGACCATGTTTTGCGTGCACTTCTGCTTTCCCAACATTATAAGCCCAAAAAATCCCATAAACATGCGATTTCCTGGTACCTTCAAATCCTTGAATCCTTATGCTTTATTACCTTTCTGCAACCAGAAAACCCCAGTATGTCCCCTGAAAACTGATTATAATTGACTCCAACAGTTCTATTTGATCACTGCCCTATATCAGGTTTTGGAATTGAAGAGAGGAGAATGGCCCTACACTATGAGACTTTTAGTGGTTGAGTCCATGGGAAGGAGGGAAATGATAAACTTGATGATTTGGTATTTGATTTTGGCTTATGACTTCATTAATTGTTTAAGCACAAAAAAATTTAAGAATTTGTGGAGTGGAGAAGGGGTCATTGCTTGGTGCAGTAGTAACATGACTGGGCTACCAAGCTTTTGGGCTCAAGTTTGTGTTTGATGGCAATCACTTTGTACAAACAATTCTTATGGTTAGAAAATGTAGGGTTGAAATCCTGCATGACATATCTTTTGCTTCGATTTCTTAGTCTTCTGAGTGACATACTTCTTAGTTGATTGCAGCACCATGATGGCCGTTGTAACTTGCTTGATTGGATTGCACTATGGGCATATTATCGTTCACATGAAGGTTCCTACTTCTGATGAGTCATGAAATTCATGTCATGGGCTGGATGAGTTTCTTTTGTTGTGACTTAAAAAAATCTGCTCACTGCAGGAACACACAGATAGGATTCTGAACTGGCTGATTCCAGCCTCTGCCCTTGCAGTCACAGGCTTTATTTTGGATTTCAGTGGTACTAAATAGTTCTTTATACTACTACCTTAGGCTTTCACATCTCAATCTTATTTTAGCTTTGTAAAATGAGGTATTTTAATAAATAATCTGTATATTTTGGCAGGAATGCATGTAAACAAGGCTTTGTACACTTTCAGTTACACTTGTGTCACTGCTGGTGCGGCTGGCATTCTAATTTCTGGCATATATGTTCTGGTCAGTGATATGAGTCTTATTTCTTTGAGAACTGTCATTTAATCATCTTGGACAAATTTGTATCTTACCTCTATGCATATTATTTGTTACATGAATAATTAATAAATACAAGAAAAAGAGCATCTGATGATCTGTATACTATACAGCATCTGTTATGTTTAAGAGAGTTGATTTTTGCGTAAGAATGAGACCACAAAACCCATATGGCTATTTTCAATTTGTTCCTGCTGCAGGTTGATTTGTATGGATATAGGAGGCCTACAAAAGTGTTGGAGTGGATGGGAATCCATGCTTTAATGATATATATTCTTGCAGCCTGCAATGTCGTTCCAGTTGTGCTCCAAGGATTTTACTGGAGAAAAACTCAAAATAACATAGTGAGTTTTATTTATTAGTTCTAAAATACCCTTCATGGTTGCTGTCCTTCTGGTACGATAACCTTCTCTGATGATCAGTATCCTTTCTGCAGTTGGGATTTATTGGCATCAGACCGTAGTGGGAGGAGAGCAGTTTTTGCAGCGTTATTCAGTATGCTGTCTGACTTCTAGATGGTTTTATATCTTGTATGGAAAGATCTTCGGAACAACATTTATATTCTTTATTCATAATTCAATTATTGGCTTAAATGGTGTTGTGTTGTTTATTGTTTATTTTCTTTTGCACGAGTACTAGCAATAAGCGTTAGTCTCCCCTCGAGGTTCATTCTCACTTTTCGGGGCAACTTTCTGCTTGTGTCACATGGGAATGGACTAATCCAGTGACAGCAAGGCATACATTTTTGATGCAGAAGAGGAGTAAAGGTGAAAAGTAAACAGAGAAATTATTCATAGAATCACAGTGTCTTCAAAGGCTGTCGTCTGTTCCGGTTCCGGCAAATTATCAAATTGGATGTATATGTTTGCTTGGTTTTTTGGTGTTTAAAGCATGATTATCAAGTTTATTATGTATACGGAATGTATAATTCCCTGTAATATAATAATATATCGAAGCAGAAGCAAAAGCAAAGTCACTGCAATGACAAAGAAACTTGGAAGTACACTCAATTAAATTTCACATTGTGAGTTCCACTTTTTTCTTTGGGAGAAAGGGAAATGAGGAAGGAGGTTTGAATTCTTGACCTCAAGAAGACAAAGTCTTTACAAGGTAAGGAGTACCATTGGATCAAAGACCCATCGGTTAAGTTCCACTACCCTTAATGCACATTAATTATACATGTACACAATAGCCGTCTCATAGGGTGCAGAACATATTTTAGGCAACATTGCAAAACAAAGGCTTGCTTGTATTATTATTATTTGGCATAGGGTGCAGATCATATTTTAGGCAACATTGCAAAACAAAGGCTTGCTTGCATTATTATTATTTGGCAACACGAAGATGCAAATATAAAAGTTCTGGTAGGACGCTAAAAAATATTATCTGAATGCTCAAAAAATTGTAACACCAAAATATCTGATATATTTACCCACCAGCAAACTTGCAATCAGTGGGAGTCTGAATTCAACGTGTTTTGGAACTTCAGCAATCAGCAAGTGCAATAAGCTGGTCGACTACATTTGGCTCTGCAAGTGTGCTTGTATCCCCGAGCTCATCTAATTGCCTTGAAGCAATTTTCCTTAATATCCTTCTCATTATCTTTCCGCTCCTTGTCTTCGGTAGACCAGGAGCCCAATGGATTTTGTCAGGTGCTGCAAATGCTCCAATCTGATATGCAACTTAACAAGCTTTAGAACTTGGAGCTTATGATTTTTTTACCCACCAATCTCAAGCACAAGGAAGATGCTTTTAGACAAATGACCACATATGCTGCAAGGACTAGTATTGACAAAAGGGTTGTAAAGCGATCATGAAGTAATAAAAATATCAAAGGATATAATGCCAACACAAGTTGCAATTTTTTGAGAAAATGACAGATTCTTAGCAAAGACAGAAATGTTGATTTCAAATCTCATCCAGAAGTCATTTTGCATTTCATGAACAAGCGATAAATCAATTGGTACAATGTGACAAATAGACAAAAAATTGTGAGCTTGTCATCATCAGTTGGGTTTTCAAAATGGAGATAACTACTGGCAGATGGGATAATTTTCACATTGATCAGCTTGAGAATAACAATCCTGAGGGAATCTATGGTAAGCGATCAGTTTTTTTCTTTTCCCCCTTTTTATGTTAGGTGGGATTTATAGAAGCTTAGGGGTATGTTTTCTGATTATTAAAAACAACTGTTTTCAATTTTTGGTGCGGCATTATATCTCCATCATTGCGAGATAGGAGAATGATGCTGACATCAGTCTCTGCAAGGAGCTTACTGGCTGATTCAGGAACCTACATCATGGTGTTTTCTCCTAATACCAAGCTTAAAAATTAATACAATGACACAACTTCTACCAGACCATTGACATTGACAATTGTGGCCATCGCACTATGAACCTAGTCTGAACCAACATCCAAGTAAATCTCTCACAAGACAAGCCCAACTTCCTTGTCGTAAGCCAAAGTTAGGTAAAGCAAATTCACTCACTTGGCCCATTTGACCCCAGCCAATTTGAGCAACACAGGTATAAGTTAAAAAGGTAAAGTTGATATTAGGGTTTATGAGAGAAAGAACAAAGGAGGAAGAGAGAGAGAGAAATAATAAGTTGTATTAGACTGTGTTAACCTTCATCCTTTTTTATTTATATTGAACAAATATCTAAGGTAACTACAATATTACCCCACACTAGTTTATGACCCTACACTAGTTTATGCTCATAAACATAAATAAAACATAAAAAATAAGAAGAACACTTCCCCTCAACTTATACACACAAAAAACTCCTCAAGCTAGAGCATAAAGATAAAAAATGTCCATCTTAGAATAAAAACTACTGAAGGCAGACCGAGCCAATGGCTTAGTAAGAAAATCACCCAATTGATCACAAGACTAGATATAAGGAGTGATGATCTCCTTTCGCATCAACAAATCTCTAATGAAATGACAATCCACTTCAATGTGTATAGTACGCTCACGAAATACAAGATTACTCGCAATTAAAATTGCTATCTGAATGTCACAATACATCTGCATAGGAGAAGGAACATTAATACTCATCACGAAGTCAAAAACGGACCCACAACATCTCACATGCAGTATGACCAATATCCCGATATTCAGCTTCCGCACTAGATCCCGCAACTGCATTATGTTTCTTACTACGCCAAGTAACAAAGTTGCCCCCAACAAATGTATAGTAGCCAGAAGTAGATCATCCATAAGCATCAGAGAAACCAATAAAAGTTATGGATGATGATGATTGATATAATAATCCATGTCCCGAAGTCCCTTTCAAATACTGAAGAATAGGACAAACAACCTCCCAATGAGGTTTCCGAGGAGCATGCATGAATTAACCAATTACACCAACCACATATATAATATCAGGGCGTAACAATGAGATCAATCAACTTACCAATCAACCTCCGATACGCCCTATGTCATCAAAAAGCTCTCTACTCTCAGTATCTAACTTCACTGTAAAATCCATAGGAGTATCAACTGGACGTGCACCAAGAATACCAGTCTCAAATAGTAAATCTAATACGTACTTTCGATGGCACAAATTGATACCGTCCTTTGACCAGGTAACCTCAATCCCTAGGAAGTATCGAAGAAGTCCTACATCTTTGATATGAACCTGCTTCCCCAAATAGATCCCAAAGTAGGCTATATCATCCGAGTCATGGCCACTAATGATAATGTCATCAACATATACAATAACAATGATAAAACTTGCAAAAGACCTACAAATAAAAACTGAATGGTTTGAAGTGGAGCGTTGAAAGCCAAACTAAAATACCACTACACTGAATTTATCAAACCAATTACGTGGTGATTGTTTCAGGCCATACAATACTTTCTTCAAAAGATATACAAATTGTTCCTTTCCAGAAACAACATAACTTGGAGGTTGACCTACAAATACCTCCTCCAATAGATCTCTATGTAAAAAAATATTCTTTATGTCAAGTTGATACAAGGGCCAATCAAAATAAGACAAGCAACCTAAGAAAAAGTCTCACTATAATTCATACCATATGTCTAGGTGTAGCTTTTGGCAACCAACTATGCCTTCAAATGCTCAACAGAACCGTACGACAGCTAATGGACTGTTTTCCAGAAGGAAGAGGGGTTAGGTTCCATATATGATTGTCATGAAGGGCTTCATTTCCTCATCCATAACCAATTTTCATCTAGGAGATGTCAATGCCTATTGCAGGGAACTAGGAACAAATACAAAAGACAAGACAAATGTAAAACAACGAAAAGATAAGTAAAACCAATGTAAAGAGACAAAATTAGAAATAGAATATTGGGTACAAGTATGAGTACATTTCCTTAATACAATAGACAAACCAGAAGAAGATGAACAACTTGACGGCTCAAAGGGCAAGACCTCAATAGAATCAAGAGATTGTAGTGAATCTGAGCATATGGAACAACTTATTTGTCCTTGGAACGACGATAAACTTCCAATGGAGAAGTAGTAATAGCGGAGGACAAAGATGCAAAATCTGGTAAAACATGCAACAAAAGTTTTCCCTGATTGGGAAAAACTAAATCTTCGAAAAGTGTATATCTTGACAAAGAAAAAAAAGATGGACTCAAAAAAAGTAATATCAACATTGCCATAGTATCGACACGAAACAGGGTCATAGCAAGGATAACCATTTTGAGTACGAGAATATAAAAAAAAAATACACTTACATAGAGCAAGGCGAAAGCTTATCTTAACCCGGACCAAGAATATGAACAAATGCGACACAACCAAAAATATGAGAAATGAGACCAAATGACGATTTATCAATGAGAAAGGGGATTTGTTGTCTAAAATGGGGGAATGCATGCAATTAATAAGATTTACAGAAATAAGAACTGCGTCAGCCCAATATGATTTCGGTACATGCATGTTAAATATCAAGGTGCAAGCAAACATCCAACAAATGACGGTGTTTATGTTCAACAACGACATTTCGTTAGGAGGTAACCAAAGGAAAAGCCATCACCAAACATTGGATACGGAAGGGATAGAGTAGATACAAACCTAAATGTGGCATCACTTGCATGAAGTGGTTGCTTCCAGACCCAAACCCATGATCTAAGGCTTGACAGTCTCAGATATAACCATTATTTCATACAATGGTGAATGGCCCATATAATGCTTGCAAACAAGACAGACACAAATCCTATATTAAAAATGCACCTATAAATTAACTTCATTAAAAAGGAAGCATCAGTTAGGTGCATTCCTTGGCCACTGAATCGCTACGTACCTGGTTTCTTACAGCAAGGATAAGACTTTTCCGAAGCTCTTCACTATACGGAACACCTTCCACCAGGGTAACAAATGCATATATGCCCTGTCCTTTGACCTAAGTAGCATATAAAAATGAAAAGATGGTTGAAACTAATTTCTTGGAGCACACATTTATAGCATTCCACCAAAATCAGGCACTAACTAGCAAATCCACGTTCAAACAGAAAAGCACCTCATGCTCAACACCAACAACAGCGGCTTCAGCACATTGGGGATGTGAAACTAGAGCAGATTCCACTTCGGCTGTGCCAATACGATGTCCGCTGCGTAAATAACAAGTACATAAGGGAATAAGCTAGGATGTTTTAATGTTTACATGTTTTCCCCAATGATAGGATAGTGAAAATGAAGAGCTGGTACCTGACATTAATAACATCGTCAACTCTTCCAGTGAGCCAGTGGTATCCATTTTTGTCCCTAAACAAAAAAGTAACATTCTTGTAGAGTACCAACCAGGATGAGAGGCTTCCAAAGATCAGAGAACTAAACTAACAGTATTCGAAGACGTCTCAAGAATCATATGGCATTAATAGGAAAAAGGTCTACAAAGAGAAATGTGCATCCACTCATAAACTACCTGCTGCAGCCATCACCAGTAAAATAATAGCCAGGGAACGCACTGAAGTAAGTAGTTTCGTATCTGTCATGATCCCCAAAAAGAGTTCTGAATGCGCCAGGCCATGAGTTTTTCACGCACAAATAACCATTGCACTCACCTTCGATCTCAACACCCTTTTCATCCACAATGACAGGCTGTATTCATATTAAAGAATGAGATTCAAGTATAAGACAATAATGATGATAGCATAAGACAATAATGATGATAGCAGAAAGAACAGTTATTTCTAGTACCAGAAAATTAGTCCGTGCAAGTACCTGAACCCCAAAGAAAGGAAAAGTAGCAGAACCAGGTTTCTGTGGCCAGGCACCTGGTAAAGGAGTGATCTGCAAGGCAATAATGGTGAACCATGTTTAAATTATAGTGTTTGTAACAATTTCTCTTTTACTGTAAACAAAGCTACCATGAAGCCACCAGTCTCTGTTTGCCACCAAGTGTCAGATATGGGGCACCTTGCATCTCCAACTACATTGAAAAACCACCTGCCAAGGTGAAAAACAATTGGTACATAAATAGAAAACAGGTTTAAAGCTTTTGATTTTAAAAATATTTACACCAAGCAGCATAAATAGAGAAAAAGACCTCCATGCACTTGGATTAATTGGCTCGCCCACACTTCCAAGGACTCGTAAGGATTTGCGCGAGTAACGGGTGACATACTGCATGTTCAACAACAATTGAGGTAAGCACTCGATATACGAAAACAACAGCTCTTTCTCTATCTCTCTCTCACACTCACACACATGCACACCAAAAATTCATTCAAGCACCATGAATCTAACATAAATTTCTGATCGGGAAACCAGATGATTTACTCCCACAACAAATATAATGATTAGCACAGATTAATTTCACACTAATATAACATTAGCACATTACCAAATTAGCTGGTCCTAAAAGCCAAAGCATAATAAAGTGTTGTAGCCTTGAAAAACACTTCATGGGTTGCAAGATGAGAGTCACTGAATGGACATGGTGGAGGCAGTCAGAAGTGAAAGACAGGGCTCAATCAATCAAATGAGTATCTAAGTTCACAATCTTCAGTTTGATGTCAGGCACAAAAGAAGATGATGTCGCAGGCAAGAAAAATATCATCTTGATTGACAGCAATAAGATTCACACCTCAACCCTCACCACTCCCATTGGGTGCAAAACTAGCACTTGCACGAACTTGCTACATCAGTTGCGTATGGATCACCACCCTTTCTTTTCCTTTTTCTCCCCTATGAATGAGAGACTGGGAAGTTCTGATGCCTGATGCATCCTATATCCCTTCCCTCTCTTTTCAATTTCTTTTGCATTCCTTCTTTCTCTTTGTAAGTACATTTCAAAAAAAAATCAGCATTTTGACCACATTGTTTTCAACGTTCTCAAGACTTGAAGGTCTACGATAAAGATGTCTAGATAATGCAGAGTATGAGTCAGAATACCAATAGTTGGTACCAATAAACAACTTTTTATGAGTAAAAATACCCTTTAAACCCCCCCCCCCCCCAAGAGGGCACAATAAATGTAAACAGGAAGTTTTACAAAGAAAGATTAAAAAAGGGATATATCAAAGACCCGGTAAAGAAGACTTTACTAGATACAATGCGAACCAGCAACCCCAAAATCACACATATATCTTTCCAAACTCCCAACGACAACAAAATCCTCCATAGAGATCAAAAAGCCTTTACAGAAAACCAGTAAAAAATCAATATAAGAAGGCTCCTCCTCCACTTCAATGCTGAAAATGCCACATGCTCCACTGCAACCATATAATTAACCGGGGATATGGAGGACAGTGTCATCCAAACCTTCAGGCCTCCCCTTCTACCTTAACCCCCTCACAAGAGCATGCACAAAACTAACTGACAATAAGCGATGTAAGCAGATGGTGAATATTGGGCATGAGAAAGGTAAATTGGGCCCCAAATATCTTACAATGTTCTATGTTGTATTTGTACAAGGGACTTAGAGAGAGATATTATTGGGTGAAAGGAAAATTTTTCCATAGTTGTCATAAATAGAGATGACAAGAAGGAACTTAAATGGGTCTCAAACAGAGAATTAAACATCTTCATAATAGGAAATATTTTTTCCAATTTCCTACAAAGAAATTGCATCAGATATCCCGAGACTATCTTGTGTCTACAAAGCTTTACTTTTTGCAGTTAGCCAGTAATGCCTCCCTTCAATTTGTTTTTCTCCTTCTAGCTTAGAATGCCTAATACATTTATCTAGTTCTATAAGTAAACTGTCGGAAGATCACTCTTCAGAGGTCACTTCCAATGCAGAAGGTTGAGCATTCTGCCAAACACCCTGACTTGGTAACCTCATTTGCCTTGGATACTTCAACAACGTTTTCAAAATGAAGAAGTGCTACTCCTATGCCACCTTGTCTATGCCAACATTACACAAGCCCCACTCTCTCTCTCTCTCTCTCACACACTCACATTCCTCTTAACCACTTATTATGGCACACAACTTCATCACTTATTGCTGCGCAAGTCAATGGCCAGGGAACCTTATTCTTCTATTTGTTTTAGTAGCTTGGGATTGGAGTTATAGGTGGTTGAACATTTGGGTCAAGTACAACAATAGGCATTCTGATGATAGTAGCAGTGTCTTTTTCCATTTCATGAGTTTTTTTGTTGGAGGTGGGGGTGGGGGTGGGGGTGGGGGGGAGGCGGCGGCATACACCAGACTCAAAGAGAAATCTAATTGCCAAAAAGCCACAAACATTAACCTCAAGATTCCCAAAATAATTCATCCAAGTCATCCATTGGAGAGGTAATGTAGCACATAGAGTCACAAGAATTTATCTTTTCTTCCAGATAAAGTCGACGAGGCTCTTGCTTGATGCCTGTATGTGGAAGGACCTGATCAACATCCAAGCCACCTCCTATGATTTCATTTTGCATTTATTGGATAGAAGTTATGTTCCTTTTTTCTTCTTTTTGGGCTTTTTGTTCTTCTTTGACACCTGCTGTAGAGATCGGAGGTTTTTGGACCCTAAAAGGAATTGGGGTTTTAGATCCTTGAGAAATCCTTTCTCTTGATACCCTTCCCCATCCTACAATAAGATTTTTTTCTACCAAGCAAGTGGGATACAACCGTTGTGGGACGATTGCAAGAACTTTTCACAAACAAAGAAATGGACAAAAAAATGCGGAATAAGCCCAGAGTCATGATGACTTTCATCATGACACCATTCCATCCAATGTAACTTACTCCCCAATGCTAGACATTATTGTTAAAGCCATAGTTCTACTTGATGGCTTGAAAGAGAAAGGATCAAAGGCCTAAGAAGACAAAAAAAAAAACAGAATCTTACTCGTGAGGTATCGAAATCAATTTTGTGTTCTCCCTTTCTTCTCTTGTTGTCTTTCTTCCTTCCCTTCCATCAATTGCAAAATGAGAGCCCTTTAGTTATAATGCACTTTTTCTCTTATCTTTCTTTATGATTTTTCTCCCTTCTTTCTCTTGCGAACAAGAAGCTTCAAAATTATGGCATACCTTTCCCCTCCATTTTCTATACTCAACTCAACAAAGACTTGTCTTCTCTCTTTATTCTCTTCCACATCTTGTTCTTTTCATACATATAAGAAGAAAATTAAAAAGAAATATATTGTAACCATTTGTCCATCACATAATCAAAGAAATTTCCATGACAACCAGGTTACATTACTATGGACCAGTAAAGAAATGAAACAAGCAGCCAGCAATATAGAGTACTATAATAGCTTATGTTCTTGCCTCATCTCCATCACGCATGAGAGACCGCACCAGTGTTGGGGCAGTATAGAATATCGAAACCTTATATTTGTCAACAATGTCCCAACATCTCCCAGGATCTGGATAATTTGGTGCCTGCAGGCAATACATGAAGCTATTGTCAAATGATATGATATCAAACCATCACTCCTTTTACAATAAAGCATGACAATTTCAAACTGACATTACCAAATTTATGCAGATTAAGGGAATGAATGCAATACAGTGGACTCTACTGTTCTTGTTGACAGTGATTAATATCCTTAATCCTAGTAGACACCACTATTGCTTCTTCTGTGTACAGTTATGATCTTTTTTACCATCTGTCCAAACTTGTGCATAAAGTTTTTATTTTATTGGAACCTGTCTGCATGATTACAGTATTTTTTATTTATGTGTTTCATACCATATGCAATATGTTGATTATAATAGAAATAGTTGAATTATATATGTATAAAACACTCGATCACTCCAAATTTGTGAAACAGAAGTAACATTTAGCTCTAAAAATTTAGAATCAATCACTTTAAAGAAGCTGATGTTAAAATCTGAAAGCTTAAGGGAAAACAATCAGCTGAAATCAAATAACAATCAGCATCCAATGAGTGTTTCAGCATTCAGTGACAAGTTAATCCTTCAGACTTCAGTTAAATTCTTCTTCAATGAGAAGTGACATCATAAGGGCTTGTTACTTCAGTGTAATTGAATAAAAAAACTAAAGCAACCACAGAAAAATTTCAGTTTTCATCATCAAACATGATCACCTAAAAGTTTATCAATCTTCCCAACTGATACAATATGGCCTATAGGCTACAGTTATAAGCTGCTGAAAAGGACTATACTACAATCCAATATACTAAGATCATAGTTATATAGATCTCACGAATATAGCTATATTAAATTTCGTCTATTATACCACCCATTTGTTATTATTTTTTACGCACTAAATGAAATTGTCAATTTATCCATATGTACCCTATATGATGATCACTGTGTGTGCATTATCTGCTTTCCTGTCTTGAATGCAATCCGCAAAGTGATTAAGAAAATCTCCAAGTTCTGCATTCATTACCCCTTCATAAACTATAACTGTTGCTCCATTAAGCAGAGGTCCATAAGTGACATAGCTGTGTCCAGTTATCCAACCACAGTCAGCTGTACACCTAAAATACAAGAAATAATATGTCAACCTCTTCAATAAATTTAGTTTAGTCCGCAAGTGAGAAAGATGTAAAAAGATTAATGGTGAGCTGTATTTTCGAGGGTACCAGTATATGTCTGATGCTTTGTAGTCAAATGCATATTTGAATGTTGTTGCACTGTATACCATGTATCCTCCAGTTGTATGCAGAACACCCTTCCAAATCGACCAAAAGATTTATTAGAAAACTTGACAGATTACCAGTATATGACTGTTCCAGGGACCTTGAGTACCTTCGGCTTCCCAGTGCTCCCACTAGTATAGAGCAGGAAAAGTGGATCCTCCGCATCAACCCACTCCACAACACAAGTAGTTGGATACTTGGGAACAACGTCCTGGAAGATTGAAACGGGAAAGGAGTAAGAGCTGAACTCTTTTATGAGAGAATGGTCAACGTGAAAGCATGAAATATTTCTAGGAATGACTCTTACCACAAAAACATTGTAAGTATTAGTAAGCATACACAGAAATGATAGATAGAGAGCACACAAAGGGAAACCAAGAAAAAGATATAAAAACTAGTAGAAAAAGTTTGATAGTGACAGAATGATAGAAAGAAGAAAGACCCCAAATTCAGAAACGCTAAGGTAAATTAATATATATCAAAATGACAGCTCGTCCCACAACAAGCATATAATCTACATCATCTGCTTGCACTTTCCACAACAGTTGCCATAAGGCAAAAGATGCCATCTTTTAATTACTAGACAAGGGGCCCATGAATAGGCTGTTAAAAGGTTCTAACGAAACGGGCTCGGCTCAAGCACAACTCATTGTAGGTTCGTTCAAGCTCGTTTGTTTTGTAATATGAGCCGAATCTGAACAATTTCCTAGGCTTGTTCAAAATACAAGCCGAGCCCAAGTAGCATAGTGGGCTCGTTTTTTATTATATATTGTTTTTCTCACATCCTACTTTCTACACACACTATACTAACAGAACACATAATCTAAGGCTAGATCAAGGAAACAAACGACGCTGCCCTGCCCCTCTCTCACACTCAACACATTCTCTCTACAGATCCATCGATTCAAAGCATATATTTACCTAAACAACACATGATCTCTCTGTGTCTCAACAGAAAAGGGGGTTTGGTCTAATAATCTTAGCTATTCTCTCCTTCATCTCAGATTTTCTCTCTCCTTCAGCTGCATAACTCGGTTTCTTTCAAGCTTCAGCAAAAAAAGGGTGAGATTAATTTGCAGTATAGACAGTCCAACAGGGGTTTAAGATGCATGTTACTTGTTTGACCAAATGCCCGACAGAGTCATGTTTCTCGAGTATAATTTTTTTTGGCAAAATGCCTATCTGTAGATTGTTGTCCTTTGATACTTAATGGTGAACTGTTGATCCCTGCTTCATGTTTTGCCTTTCTCTCTTTCAATTTCTTAAATGATCATTTTTTATAGCAGTGATAAAGGATTGGATATGAGAAACTGGTTGGTGTCTTCAAAAGGTGGTAGTGAAAAATAAGCCAAGCCTGAACAAAGCCTAATCTGAGCAACTCCTACAATACAAGCCAAGCCTAAAAACACGGGCTTTTCAGGCTCGGCTCATTTAACAGCCTTAGTCATGAAAGGTTTTACTGCAAGACTGGAAGCCGAATCAGCCGCACAGGTAGCTAGTAACCAATAGTTACTGCAAATGCAATTGATGTTTGACTGTTTCTTGTAAGACTTTGTTTTCCAAAGGAGTATAAGGAATTTTCAATAATTTACACCTTATTATTCAAGAAAAGAACAAAGCAAAAAAGGGATGTGTACTACGTATCTTGTTAAACTGGCAACTAACGCTGACAAACCTTCCTAGTGACAATGACCACGCAAAGATTTTGAAATGTAAAAGGAGCCATCAACATTTTTCTACATACTAAAACCTTTATTTAAGAACAAAGCAAATTAGGGGAGATTGATGGACCATGTAAAAGTACATGATTTGCTTTACGACTGCATCAAGGGGCCTACTTGAAGTCTCTATCTCTCAACCCCAAACACAAGACAGATTAATTGGACAGATAATTGCAGTTTTTATCACTTATGGATCAGTCCATTAATACTGTGATGACACACAGCTACTTTGTGTCCCCTTGTCTTTTCACGGTGGGATTACACCAAAGATCGGCCTTAAGTCCATGTCTATTTGCCCTAATTATGGATGAACTCACTAGGCACATTCAAGATGATGTCCTAAGGTGTATGCTATTTGCAGATGATATTGTATTAGTATATGAAACTTGAAGAGGATTAAAAATAAGTTAAAAATTTGGAGAGAGGCTCGAGTCAAAAGGGTTTAAAATAAGTAGGAATAAAACTGAATATATGCAATGCAATTTTAGTAATAGAAGTAGACATAGTGAAATAGTTAAAATTAAAAATCAAGAAATACCAATGAGTAAACAATTTAGACATCTAGAATCGACCATTAAAAATGATGAAGAGATTGCAAATGATGTAACTCATAGAATCAATGTCAGTTAGCTTAAGTGGAAGAAAGTCTCTGGCATATTATGTGATAAAAGGATACCAATAAAATTGAAAGGTAAGTTTTACCGAATAGTTACAAGGACAATAATGTAATATGGGACAGAATGTTAGGCAACTAAGAAATAATATAGTGACAAAATGAGCGTAGCAAAAATGAGAATGCTAAAGTAAATGTGTGAAAAAACTAAAAAGGATTGAATAAGAAATGACCGTATTAAAGAAATGGTAGGAGTAGCTTCAATTAAGGATAATTTAAGAGAAAATAGATTAAGATGGTTTGGTCATGTTCAACGGAAGCCAATTGAGACACCGATTCAAAAAAGCGAGAAAATTTCTCTTAATGGTACTAGAAGTAGGGGTAGACTTAAATTAACATAGAATGAAATAATAAGAAAAGATATGAAAATATTTAACTTAAATGAGCGTATAACGCATGATCGAAGTAAATGGCGAAGACGGACTCATATAACTAACCCCAAATGATTGAGACATAAGACTTGGTTTGATTTGTTTACTACTTTTTTTTTGTAACTATTAAAGGACTCCTTGTCCTATCATATACTCTTTATTTTTAATATTCCCTCAATTTTCTTATAAAAAAAAAAAAAAACAATCCAATAGATTTTTTTCAAAAATGGCACATAATTCTTCATGATGGCTGATGAAAGTTGAAGCACACATGAGATTTTTCCGTGAGGACACGAAACAATTTCGATAAAGATTTTTACAAACATCATTGGTTAGCCTGAATTGACACTAGTTCAAAACTTGGAAGACAAAAACTGACGCGGAAAAAATTAACTTCAAAGGATCCAAGTGAGAATCGGTGTATCCTTGGGGTCCAATGTGTAATTAACCCTTAATTGGGTTCAAGTACATGGTAAGAGATCCCATGGCCTATACATTGCCATGCATTCATATTTCTATAAATTAAGATTTAGAAAAACACTTTCAAAGCAAGGCACTAATGATGAATATACAGAGTGAATTACTAATTAAAACTGATGACCATGAGATACCTAAAGGTAATTACTTTCACTATCTAATGAAGGGTTAAATCACGGTAAATCAAAGCAGTTGTTGCCAATAAAGTGGAGTAGTTCCGAAATGGTGTGCAAATTGCATATGGCTTTCTAATAAGACAAAATATGAAACTTATGTTTAAAATAACTACAAAAAGATTTATAAAAAAAGAAAAGAACAAAAAAATGCTTTGCGACTATTTGGCCCACCAACCTGCCACCAGATATCTCTTTCCTCTTGCCATTTAGTGGCTCCCTTTGTCATTGCCGATTCATTTTCATATGTCAAGCATACATCTGCCAAAAACACCATAGATCAATCAGAAAAGACTAAGAAATCATGCCTCCATTGACATCCAGGCATATCTAGAAAAAGGAGGGGAGGGGGGAAAAACAGGATAAGAAAGCAAAAAATAACTATCTTTGAAACAAATAGATCAAGGATTAATTCCTCTACATGGGTAATTATCTACTCCCTGCATCTTAATTTTTTGGTCCATTTTTCCTAATTTGGATGCTAGATAATAATTCTCCACTTTGAAACGTAAATTTACAAAACTTGTGACCCTTTCTGAATTGTTCTTTGGGAGGAATAGTTTTGGCGCTCTCCCATGAGACAATAATGTGAATTTACAAAAGTTAAGCTTTAAGAAAAAGAAGTTTCATTTTTGATGGAAAATAAAGATAGATTCTCTCCTTGGTAAAGCAAATTCCCTTTCTCTAATAATAAGAACAGGTTTCAGTCTTGAAGTTTGCCTTCTTTAAGGGAAAAGATTCAAAGGACTTGACTACAACTTGCTTCTAGGCTTACGGAAAAAGGCGAAGCATTTGGAGAGTAATTTGGGAAACTTGTGCTTATCCATTCGAGCATGAATACATTTCATGTTTGTTTGTACATCATATGTGTCTTCTTAAAAAGGGGATGTAGGAAAAAGAAAAAAGGAGTGATTTGTCTACTTTGTTAATAAGGTAAGGAAACAAACTTCAAGTACTTCGTAGGACGAGGATGAAGACTTATTTATAATAAAAGGTACGGACAACCTTTCACTTCGGTACGATCTAAAATGATTCCACATTCAAGAAAGAACCGGGCTGGATTCTTTTTTAAGAGGAAAGGAGCCAGAATCGAGAGGATCATATGAAAAGTATCAAGAACTACTATTAAAAAAAGGGGATCGTACTCTTTGCAGCCTCCCGTTCACTGTACTTTCAAATAGTTCTTTTTTCAATAAACTGAATGACTGTCTTCTATAGTTTTAAAGCTGGATCTCGGAACTAAGGAAAACAATTATTACAAAAGGCTAAAGAGGCTACATCCATTGTAGCAAAATAAGCTGCCATTGATTTGGCATCTTCAAGATGTGAAGACAGACCTGAACGAAAAATCTTCCCTCCATTTTTTCTACTTTCTAGAATTTTAACTTATTTAATTACAACATATAACTTCATCAAATCAAATTCCTCCAAATCATATAAAGAGTAATACCACCATTATAGTCGATGTAACTACTAATTTAACGCTAAGAAAAAAACTAGTACAACCCATTAATGGAATGTATTTCATAAAATCAAAATTGGAGGGGTGGGATGGGATGGGGATTTAATAGGTATGTTTTACAATATCAGAACCGGATAGGGTGAGATGAAAGTTTCATGCGTCACTAGAAACCATCACTGGTTTTATCATAATTATATGTTTAGAATGATAATTTCTCACGCAATTCGAATAGTTTCAAGCATATATAAACACATCTGCAACTATCATAATCACGGTCATCATATTTCCACTTACGATAAATAAACTCCGACAATTATAACTTGTACATGATATTGCTATTGTAAATTTTGCTGTCACCGTATAGTTCTCCCCTAGCATTTCACGATATTTATGCTTATTTACTTCTTACTTTTTTAAAGTGAAGCTATTCCTAATAATACTCTTTTTATATCGCGTTGCCTCCTTGGTTAAATAATAAATAGACAGATGTTCATTTCAGTGTCCTCTCAATATTTTAACTTGATTGAAATGGTCAAAATTTTAAGTATAAAAATAGTCGCTATGTGCGCTCTATAGAAACTTAGGATTCTAAATTTAATCCCATGCTCCAACTCTAGCAGACCATCAATCCTATCTAGGATCCTCATTTTGGCAACCTTGGTGACACAAAAATGTGGGATTTTGTCACAGGTTCAAACACTAGAATCTTACTGAGCAAATGGCATAACCTAAATTCTACAACTTGTTCATTCCATCACACAGTAAACTAAAGTTCTGCATCTAAATAAGCACATACATCCATACTTGTTCAGTGTTTTTATATTTAATTTGTTTTGGATGAAATTGAATGATTTTTGCCACATACTCTGTCTGAGCTTGGCAGAATTGAGACTATAAGCCTCTGGGATATCTCAACAACCAGAAATGATTACCTTGTGTCCTTATCGTCATGAATCACAATGAGCAATGTTCATTAAAGAATCATGTACAATTAAGTTATACTGCAACCAGATGGGATTTAAAACAGCCACCATTGCTAGAAAAGACTGAAAATGAGTTAAGGAGAACCATGCCTAACATAGTTTTCCTTTTCAATCAAATATTTCCTCACCCAAGAGTATGGCCTAACGATATATGGAGGGACAGGATACTGCACCCAAGACGTGAACCATATATGGAGGGACAGGATATTGCACCCAAGACATGAAGCAATGAATTAATTTCTCACCTACAGAGATGCCATTTTGAGATGCTTCTTTGAGGGCAGCATCAACTATGCCTTTGAGATTGATGATCTTAGACCCTCTCCTAACAGCATTGCAAGTTATCACGACCTTTGGTTTGCAATCCATTATTCTTTGAGCAAGAGACTCCGCAGAGAATCCGGCAAAAACGACCTGACAAACAAGAACAATTTGAAATCAGAAATTAAGAAAATCTTGAGATACAGATAAGATATGATAAACATCTTAGGAGAAAAAAAGGAATGTTGGGGTGCAATACCGAGTGAACAGCACCAATGCGCGCACAAGCAAGCATTGCAATTGGCAGTTCCATAAGCATGGGTAAGTAAATAACAGCAGCATCACCCTTCCTAATACCAACATCTTTCAAGTAATTTGCAAGCTGTTTGCAGGACACGTTAAAACAACATTTTTATCCAATTGAATTTTGAAGAAACGCAAGAATTATAACAGGTATTTGATACAGCAGCCATAGAAAGAGAAGGATACAAAAGCAAACCTGGCAAACTCTCTCAAGCAGTTGGTTGTATGTCAATGTCCCGTCAAGACCAGGCTCATTTCCTTCCCAATAAATAGCAATTTTGTCACCATTTCCAGATTCAATGTGTCTATCCAAGCAGTTGTAACAAATGTTGGTGGTACCGCCCTTGAACCACTGTTCAGAAACACAAACATGCCTTACCCAGAGAGATGAGTGATTTACTAAGATTAAGTATAATATGGAAGATAGAAAATGGCATATAACTGGGAAAAATGGGATTCGAAAAGAGATGGATGCGATAAAGGACCTCGATCTTGATGCTTCCTTTTCTGATGTCAAGATTCTCTGAGTAGACCTGTTTGCCCCATTTCTCTTCCCAATAGAACTCAGACGCAATGTCAGACCAAAATCCAGCAGGGTCCTCAATTGACCTTATATACATCTCTAAATACTGATTCATGAAATTTCAACCGGAAAACATCAAAATCGTCAAAATAATAGAAAGAAGCCGAAGACTAAGCGACGGCAAATCCAAAGAAGGGACGATGATCGTTGTCGGTATAGAAAACAAACAACATTTACGGTTGGGGCATGGGTAGTGGGGAAATGGAGGTGGATGTAAGACAAAAAGATAAACAGGGAGTTGAGTGGAGGACCTTCTGGAGAGAGGGAACGAGAGCCTGGCGAGAGAAATCGTCGCTAGGGAAGACGAGATCATCCTCCTCGGAAACAAGTGCCTCTCCTAGTATGACTGCGTTCAACCTGGGTATCTTGCCGGCCCCCGACGGCAGAGTGGCCATCGACTCCACATGGCGCAAGTGATCCGATGTTGTCACATATTTCCGAGGACTGGGAGTAAAAGAAGATCTCTCCGGAGGAGTATCCATCGGCGTCAACCCCCAACTACGACCACCAACTCGTAATTTGATTATTATTCTGCCGCTGCAACCCAAAGGGTGGGGGTGGTGACGGTGAAGGTAGTTTAGACGGTCAATGGAGGACGACAAGGGCGGACGAAGAAGACAAGGAAAACGCGAGATACGGGAGGGAGACTCTGTGTTGCCGTTGAAGAACGGCAGTTTTGCGTTAGACTTCGAATTAATGAGAAAGATCGGACTGGGAACAGGTAGATACACGAAACTATTATTACTACTATATTTGCACCCAGAAGGAGAGAAGGCCATTCTTTCGTTTCCCCTGGCCCCTTTTTATTATTAGATATTAGATTGATTTGATTTGGAGAGAGAGGGGGAGAGAGAGAGAGAGCTGTGCGGGCTACCAGAATCACGGGTTACTGTGTAGTAGATTGTCGGTCAGTTCTGGTTCCTCCTTCCTGTTTTTGAAAGGAAAATTTTCATTCGCATTCTCTTTAATTTATCATAACTTTAAAAATATATTTTTTTTATTTTTCGAATTTTAGCTAAAACTCTTTATCAGATTAAATGTATTAATTATAATATAATTTTACTAAATTATATCTTTAATGAGACTTCTTCTATTTTTTAAATTTTTTTAAATATTAAAATTTGAGTCGATTAAAAATTATATTTTAAGAGATAAAATATATTTTTTAATCGACTCAAATTTTAATTCATAAAATATAAATTTTAATCAATTTAAATAGAATTTTCATTATTTTCAATTGAACCACCCCATCATTTTTTATTTCTCCACCATCTACCTTGCATACAAATCTTCTCTAACCACAATAATTAGATAAAAAAAAAATCAAGAAATCTTAGTTACCAAAATAAAGAAATCAGAATCTATTATTTTTTTAAAATTTAATTATTCTTTTGGCATCAAAATCTCTGTATTTGTATGATCGTGCAGAGTGATAGGTGATGGAAAGTCTTCCCTTCCATTTAAATAAATGTAAATTATAAGTAGAGAACAAGTCAAAATATTACAAATGTAATCATTTCAAATCGGCCGAACTCGAGATCAGATCATCTACATTTTTCAGATGGAATAAAATATAAAAAATATTGCTTTCATAACGATAGGGATATATATATATATATATATATATATAACTATGATATCATGCGGTCCAGTTTACTCAGTCCCACATTCTTTTTTTAATGCAATTCCCACGTGCCTTTGTGACTTGGGGGCACCCTTTTTGCCGCCCAAACAAGGGCCGAAGGATCTCACACATCCCCCACAATAACACTCACCTACCACAAACATATAATAATAATAATGCCGTTTGTCCATAAAAATAATTTAATTAGTAATGTAAATAGAAATAGCATAACTTACTAATAAACGGTTTAATTTTTTTTTTAAATGTTATACAAATTTTTGAACAGATTCACTAATTAATCTATGGCATTGTCACCAATTTGCTCATGCAAATAACGATTTGTCAAAATTAACCCAACTAAAAGTATATAGTTTTTCAAAATTTATTTAGAGTGTGTTTGATAATGATTTCGTTTTTATGTTTTTTTTATATAAAAAAAGCATAACTAATTTTTATTTTTTTTGTGATAAAAACTAAAAATATGTTTGATAGTTATTTATATTTAAAAAATTATAAAAACAAAAATAAAAAACATGTTTAGTATTACACAAAAAATTCACCGCCTAACTCCACCCAACCCGACCACACTACCAAAACCCACTATTTAATCCCAAACCCACCACCACCCCCTCCACCTCAGCAAAAACCCACCACCACCCACCCCTTGAAAATCACCATACACCCCTGAAATCCACCACCAACAACTCCTGAAACCTACCACCTAATCTTCCTGCAAAATCCACCACCACTAAACACTCAATTCTTGAAAATTCACCATCCAACCACAAAAAAAAAATCATAAAAAAGTGAGAGAGAGAAAGACGCAAAAAGGGAGCTGCAAAAAAAAGTAAAAAATGCAGTGTTATCAAAACCGAACCAGTCATCAAACAGGCAAGGGGACCCAGTCAACGGTTCACTGGTTTAACCGTTGAGTCAACTGGTCATATAATAAAAAAATAAAAAATATATATATAATAATTATAAAACAAAATAATTTAACTAAAAAAATATAAAATATACCTAAAATGCATACAATTTGTCATAAAATTAATAAAGTTAAATAAAAGAAACACATGTGCCAAATATCAAAGTTGAACTTTAAAGATCCGATCCAAATTCATAACATAAAAATCATTCCCCCCCTCCAGACTCCTCTATTGAAGTCTCTCTCTAACTTTCACATTAATTCTTTGCTTCACTCTTTTAAATCACAAGATCCCCATCTATTTCTCTCTCATTCTCTATCTCTGCATGTTTCTTCAAGACCTCTCTCTCTTTCTTTCTCACTCTACTGTATCACAAATTGGTGTTGGACTTGTAGGTCCATGGACAGACGATGCTAAGATAGTGGGAGAAGGGAGAGAACACAGAGGCCTTGTGAGAGAAACTGAGAAATATACAAACCCATATACATTCATAGAGAGAGAGAGAGAGAGAGAGTTTAGGCCTATGTTTGGGTTGGAAAATGTCACATTCTGGGAAATCTCAATCGGAATTGGGGTTTGATACACTTGCCGAAGAACGAAGTGGCAAATCGCAGTCGCCTAGTCGCTGAAGCCTTGGTGGTAAGGTGTTGCCTTATGCAATTTTGCGATTTAGGGCATTAAGCTTGAGATTTTAATTTAATTTTTAATTTGGCAATAAACCATCCAATTTTTATAAAACCCGGTTCACAGTTTTTTATAAGAACTGGCCGATTTTCTAGCTTTTAGCCAGTTCTCTTCCTTAAACGGTCCAATTTAGAAATTGGACCGGTTAAGGTCTCGGTTCATCGTTGAACCGATCCAACCGGTCAGTCCGGTCCGATTCTATTAACACCGGAAATAGAGAAGGGGGAAGGGTGTTTTTATACTCAAGTAAGAAAATTCATTTGCTAAAAGAGGATCGAAACCAAGATCTTATTAAATCCCATTAAAGCTCTTGCATGTGTTTTTTTTTTTTGGATGTTTTCATATTTTGTCCTTTTTTTTGCAAAACATAGCAACAACAAAAAAAGGAAAACATTCAGCAAACATACTTTTATTTTTATTTTTCCCAAAATAAAGACTCCATGTTACCAACCGCAACCTTAGTTACCACAATGGAGGATCAATTTCTTTTTAATTATCTTCTTTTCATGATCAAAACATAAAAAATGTTAAACTTGTAAGTATAGATTTTTTGTTCTTGTCTTTCGTTAAAAAAGTAAGTAATGATGTTTAATTCAAAGGCGTGAGCTAGGTGATTAAGCTGAGATGCTTAAGGTTATGAAATAGTGATTCTGAGAAGAATAATGAATGAGTGAACAATGAATGGTAGAGCTCCGCAGTATCTTATAGGAAACATAAAGTAAAGGTACAAGTTAGAGAGTAAAGAAGAAAACAAAAACTAGTGGTTCATCAACTGAAGAGTTTGTCTAGTCCACTCTGGTAAAGTCTCTAGTCCACTAAGGGATTTTCTATTTTTGGGAAAGAAGATAGAGATTGCAATTGTTGAGATTACAGTTGATCATTTGTATGAGGGATTGTCTCTTGTATTTATGCCCACAAGTGGGGTGGTCCTCACCTCATTATCATATGGTCCTCGAGTTTGTTTGAGAAATATTTGGTTGTTTGAGGCTACATCCCTTGAGGTGGCATCATGACCTATCTCCGAGCTTGGATACGCTATGATCTGTGAGAGGTCATGCTACTTGAGATGACCTCTTGTTCTTTTGGACAGCTCATGAATAAAGGAGTTCAAACTATGCTCATGACCTTAGTTAGAAATACTAAACTTCCTCGTGAGATAATTTGGACGACCTAGTCACCCTTACCTGAGGTTATACGTGGACAACATGGACATCTCTGCCTGAGGTTAGATGTGGAACTGGAGGTCGGGAGTCAGACCTTTTTATTGAGTCTTACAACAGACGAGATATGGAGATATCATTCCACTTATTTTTTGTATTATTTTTGGTATCATCAGTAAATTTTAGCAACACTCATATGTTTTAGTACACTAGCAATGGTGAACAAATTTGACTAATATATTTTCGTTAAATTTATAGAAAAAATAAATAATGGTTGTAATTAAGTTAAATAACATTTCAAACTTATATTTTTATCATCAATACAATGTTGTAGAGTTAAAAAGAGTTATATATGGTAAATTTAGAAAAAATAAAATAAAAATAAACAGCCTATGTTTAAATTAGTATAAGCACTCAAAAATTTTCTTAATGTGTTTGTAGTTATAAATGTTAATAGTATAGTTCTATACCCATATCAAATCACTGTTTTTGTTTAAGTAATACAATTATTATTATCAACACCTTGATTGATGAGAAACACAACGCAATTTTTTTGGTGATAGATTTTTTGGGGCACCTCATGAACCAGTTGCATGTTTGTTCAATGGATTGATTTTGTATCTAAAAATAAGGAAGATATTAAAGATTATAGTATAAGTAAGTGACAAAAATAAAATTTAAACCCGAAAGATATTATAACATAGCTGTAATAAAAGGTAAATCATTTGACATATACTACATTAGAAGGCTAATACTAAAACAGAAGAAAAAAAATACATATCCTTTAAGCTCGAGAAGTAATTGCCATTTCTGGCATATTTTGGATGTGTGTAGCCCAGATTTGTGCTCTAATTACTCCCACATCTATTGTGTGTTGCACATAAATATGAATATGAAGTATATTCTGGAATAGTGCCACAGTCAAATACTCAATTCATTTTAGGAGTAAACTTTGTCATGTATCATTTACGCCATGTGTATGTGCTCAAAAGATTGCCTCATTTCCGAGAATTTTAACATATGGGGTGACAAATTATGTCATCATTCAACCTTTTTTAAGGGATCTCAACATATCAATTGGAAATAAAATCAACAACTCAAAGGTAAAAATTAACAAAAACAATGATTCGGGAAGAAAAATACATCTCTTTATTATTGAAGATCAAAAGTGGATGATAATTGTGCGTGCATGATCTTGCACAATATAAAAAACGAGAACAGATCTCTTCCTTGGTGAACTCGAGTGAGTCAGTTGAGTGATCAACCACGCTGTTTGGGACAGCCTGTGAGGTCCGGTGGTAACCTGGAACGGTAACGGGAGACCCTCGTTAATTGAAGAGATGATCCAGTAAGGCTGGGAAAAGGTTCCTGGAACAAAGGAGAAC